TCATCGTACAACATCGCATTTTCGTACTTTTAATGCTTTATGTTTTTCACTCTAATGTTAAAATGTTTGGAACAATATAAATACTGGTTTGTTCATTTAGTTTCCAATCTGATAGTTTGAGGTTGTTTTAGTACTGTTTAGACCGCAATTTGTCTAGTATGTTGTTGTAATCAATTGCAATGAAAAAGGACAACATTCTTGCCTAAATATTATGAAAACAGAATAAATGACATATTGGTTTTGCTCTGCTTCAATGAAACAAACCCCAAAGTACAAAAATTATTCTTAGCTGGCGTTTTAAAATATTAACGTAACACGGATCAGTGGTGTAAGTTTAAAATAGAAAAGCCTAGCAATTGATGATTATTTTATGTTTATTTTTACCTGCACTGATACCATCATGATGCAATTGAAAGATCCCTGTCTTCTTTCGCCGTCGTTATTTTTTGTCCCACTATCCCTCCGTTCATTTATAATATCATATTTATATAATTATTATCTTATTATTAATAATTATTATCTTGTTTATATACGTTGGATTTTGAAGGGTGGTATATGAGGAATGGGAAAAAATTGGTACCGGTTCGGCCTGTTTATCCTTTCAGGATTATTTAGGTAAGGATAATTAGGGAAAGGAAAGCTAAATTGTCGAAAAATTAAACTATGTAGAAATGTTTGATGTGTGGAATGTGATGAATGTTTTATATGTGATGTGATGATATATGTGTGTTATTGATATTGAATTTGATTAATGATATTAGCGTAGTTTAATGTTTCTGTTCAGTAATTGATGCTGTGCTTAACTCTGTTGATGTAAACCATTTCAAAAAAGTTACGTTTATGTTTGTTTTGTTCTGTGTGTAATATTTTTTGATTGTTGAAGTCGAAATTGTGTTGGTGTCAAAATGGTGGGTAGCCAGTGTTGTTGGGTTTTGTTTGGGTTTTTGACATGTTGCTTTACTCTCTTATCCAGACATTGGGATGAAATACCGGTGTGCGGTGACGGACAATTTAAAAATTAATTATGTATGTAAAAATCAGATTTATTTATTACTGGTATAAATCCTTTATCAATAATTTTTTATTACTTTTTTACGATCAGAAATATGATTGGTTTAATGAATTTTCAATATAAAAGTAGACAGTTTATATAATGGTCAGCTAGGTATAACACTTTCTATCATAAATGCAAATGATTTGCCTGAAAATCCAAGTGGACGAAGTTGACTCCCATCACTAATACTAATAATTCACCAATTAACGAAAGATACGAGAGGCAATTTGAAAAGTTTCATTGCTATATTAAACCGTCCATTCGGAATATTTATACGACCGCTTTATAAGAAGATTATATTTAAAAGGCTGAAAAGTTCCCCAATTAACTTTTCTCCCTCTCTCTGAATTAATACGGGAAATTACCTCGGGACATTAGAAATTGCCGATTTAGCCATTAAACAAATTGCCAGAACGTGGGGCCCCTCCGAGGGTATTTAGGTAAACATTATTTGATGAAGAGAATCGCCTGTTTAATTGAGCGTGATATAAGGCTATTTACCCTGCCCCCTCCTGGGACCTCCTATGGTATCAATTTACAGGTATAGGTTTAGAATTGGCGGTGCCGGTTTAGGACGAGGCCTCCACTCCTCAATTAGTGGGCAAAGTGAGGTGTGGCTACCCCATCGGTAAGCCTAATGACCTAGACCAGCTACACTTTAAAGGCTCTAACACTCGAAATTGTACGGTTTATGTAATAGGTAAAGTTTGTTAACTCCATTAAGAGATCGTTAGATTATTAGGGGGCGGGGTGGGAGCGACACTTCACTTATCTGCCTTATTACGGCCTCACTACAGATCAAATCACCATGTTTCCTTGTTATTACAAGTATTTAATATTATCAGGAAAGATTAGAATGCTAATGTTGGCCTATATTCACTCTGCTGAGCTGGAGATCGTTAACATCTCGAAAAGACAATGTGCCTTGAAACCACAAAACGTTTCCACAATTTAAAACAATATTGTCGCCAATTTACAATATCCCACGCAAAAAAAGAGAAATTTCGTTAGAGGTTTTACTGAGAACTTAAATACATAAGTATTACAATAAATAAAGATTAAATTTGTTGACGTCGAGAGAAGAGGTCAAGAATAAAGTAGAACAAATAGAAAATAAAATTACGAGACCTCCTAGGATAGATCAGGGGGAGTCACCCACCTTGGTGCCTGAGCGATTCCGAGGTTGTGCTCTAGTCGGGCGCCATCGACTTCTTTGGTCGACGCCCTTACGTTCCCTAAAACTAGTTATTCTCACACTCACTCATCCAATATATACATACATACTCCTATATACAAACACAATCACACATGCATATCCTCTGTCTAGAATCCCGGCCGGGGGTACTCGATATTCCGCCCAGACCCGGCTTAGCGGAGCAGCGGTGGAACCTTGAAATAATATCTGCACCGCCGCCCAGCATAGTCCTATTCCAACATAAACTAAATCTAAACTTTAACCTATGAAATAAATACCCCACTATATACAACCCATTATTCAAATATCTCTTAAAAACCTAAAAAAAAATTCTTTAAACTCGCTGCCATGCTGGAGCATTCTCCTATAATCCGGCGGTATTCCATTTCGGTCCCTTTGCGGGGCCAAGCTGCGATACCCCTCCAACACGTGCGACACCGTTAGTCTGTCATCTTGGCATGCTGGGCACCTAGGTCGACTCGCGCCAACCAACAAGTGCCCATAAGTCGCACATGTGTGACCGACCCGCAGCCGGGTCAGGACAACGCTTTCCCTTCGAGATATCCCCTTCGGGCTCCACCGTCGGCTTGACGGACACTAGCGCGTCAGTCGAGTCGGCCCAACGACGCTTCCACTTGTCTAATATCATATTTTTCACTATTCCCTTAGCGTCGTCAGGCCGGGGTGGTCTCAACATCATCACTGTGAGGAACGAGGGTACCCGCTATCGCGGCCAGGTCCGCTCTCTCGTTCCCCTCCAATCCGACGTGTCCTGGAATCCAGGCTAAAACCACCCTTTTCCCGGCGCGCACCATGTCCGCATATTTTAATTGGATTTTGCCGACCAGTGGATCCCGTTAGAGGTCTTTCAGGACTCTCACCGTGCTGAGGGAGTCAGTGCATATGAGAACAGTTTCGTACCCCATGCCCGACACCCCCAGCATTTCGGGCCAAATCGCGTGTACAAACTGCACTCTCTAGGGTGTGGGTGGGAAGAGCTTTCCTCCCGCGGGTGCTGAAGTCATATCTAAACGGGTTTGACCATCCAAACTAACGCTCATTTAAGTCCATCACTTCTATCTACTTTAAGTAATTTCAGATCACGGCTCTCTATATCAAAACATCACCATACTAAGTCATAACTAGGGCTCCGATTTATATAAAACAAAATAGACAATTATGCACATAAATATGTAAATATATTTGATAAAAATGCAACTTAAAACTGAAAATATGCGAAAACTACCACTAACTAAAATTACCAAAAGAACATTTTCATGTTGAACCCCACTCGGCCAAAGAAGACACATACATTCATTACAATGTCTGGTAATTGTGGCATGATTCATTTTTCAAGTACCTCACAGTTCAGCACGAAAGGTTGTGAAGTTTAATCTGCGGAGAGTTTTCCCAAGATTACGTTGTTTACATATCAGCCTTCAACATCTGTCGTCTCAACCATCAAGACCCAGATCGGTCTATTTTCGATGAAGTTTTTGATTTTATGAAGTGTTTCGTCGTATATAAGATGAAGTGGGATATCCTTGTACTTTTGCGGGGAATGGTTTTCCCTGTGTATTTCTAAAAAAAAACCTTGAATTCAGGGTGGCTTAGTTAAGGAAGGGTATATCAGCTCTAACTAAAGCACGAAACCTGACATTCCAGACCCAGCACTTGTGGCAGCTTGTGTCGCAAAAGTTTATTGACAATTTGACTTCCTACCTTTGTTTTCCTTGCATTTGCTGTCTTTATGTGCTGTGTTACCAAAAAACGTGTTGATACAGGTTTATTACAACAAACACAGTATAAAACGTCTGTATTTCCCTTTAAAGTCTCCCTGGAAACTCTCGCACATACTTTTCAACGTCTTTACGGTGACTTCGGCATTTTAGGAGTAGTTCACAACACACAAATAATGTTTCACGACAGAAAACTCAAGAAAGACTGGGTAAAGCTGAGAAGTATGAAGAAAGCGGGGATAGAGGAGAACTGAGGTCGTAATATTTCCATGAATCCAATTAAACTATTCCAAGAGTACATTAAGAACTGACGTGCCAAATACCGATATGCCGAATGTGTAAAAAAATATGCAATTACAACCCACTTATGCAAAAATATGCATTTATGGCAATATATACACAAATATGCAAAATAAATGTAGCTTAAATTGATTTCAAATACTTGAAAATATATATAGTTTGTTAAAACTGGATGTTTTAGTTAACCAGGAAAAATATGCCCAGCCCTAGTCATAACCAATTAAGGATTTTTGACTATTTCACACACTGAAATCTTATCCCGCGACTTCCATTGCTGAGTGCCGTGTCAATTCCTTTCCATTGCGGCCACCGGTCCTCTTAGGCGTCAGAAAAAAAGTCCAGAGGCGACGGTGGAGATCGAACCCACGACCGCGGGATCTACCAGCCGAGAGTCTAACGCCTTAACCACTCGGCTACCGCGGTCCCCAAGGAAGACTCACTAATGACTCGAGAGAGAAAAATGGAATTTCTCTTCCATTGGTTATTTTTCGTTGTTGCGTAAGAAAGAGTTAAGGAACCACCATTTTAAAATAGCAAATTTTAATTCCTCTTCAGGATAATCGTATTTATTTACATTATTTTAACTTATTTGATAATAGAAGCACTCATAATTATAGTTAGTTGGCTTCTTCAATCAATTTTTCTTTTAGCCTGATTTTGCTTTTAATCGAGTCATAACTTTTAATGGATTTAGTTTGAGAAAATTACTTACTTTCTTCAGGAACCCCTTGGGTTTGAGGGCATTGGACGCTTTCGTACTCCGTACGGCCGTAACTTGCCGAATATACGGCAATTCTCGAGTTTGGGTTGCAGTTCAGCTGGACGACTTCGTTCTCACAGGCTATTTTACTTCTAAACTCATCTGAAACAGAAAGGAAAAACATTTGTTTTAGATAGATAGACACTTTTATTTACAATATTATGAACAAACACAAAAGTAATAATAAAAGAGTATAAAAAAAAAACAATAGCCGAGACCGTCTGTCAAATCTCACGTCCTTTTCAGAAAAGAAAAGAAATTGAATACAACACGAAAGTAATTATAATTACCGAACATTGAGCTTTAACACAAACTTAACTAATATCAAAATTCTTTTTCTGTTAAAAATACAAAATAATATAAAAAATAAAAGAAAAATAAATAGCTTGATTAGTAATTAAAATTTTTAACTAAAGAATTGCTTTAAATTGATGCTTTCTCTACATATTTTTTTTAAATTTAGTTCATGGGTTCCGTTTAAAAGATTAGCTACGGCTAGATCAGATAGGTATTCAGAAGTAAAATTGTTTTTTCTGATGGTCTTTAATATTGGACAACGACCCAAAAAATGGAAGGTATACTTTTTTTCTATCCTATAAGTAGAGGTAAATTCATCCCGAGATGTAAGGTTTATACAGGGGGACTGGCGATAAGTGTCGAAAATTTCAGGAGGTTTTTCTATTCACCATATCCCCTGTACAAATCTGAACAGATAAGAAGTAATTTCAGATTTTGGGTGTTTTTAATTTTTCGACTTAGGTCCACTAAATTGCTTATAAGCTTCAGAATTACAGACCGTAGAAAAATCTGATTTGTGTCACCTAAAAGAAGGTTAAATGTTCTGTAAGCAAACCTATTTACATTCCAATTGATGAAAAAATTCTGCACGAAAAATTCAGAAAAAATACAAATGTTATAATTTGGAATTTTTTTTTTAAATGTTGGATCTGTAACTGCTAATTACTACAAACTCCTGTAGCTTTGCAAATTCCTCAAAATTCTCCATTCAATTAGCTTCCAGCGGTATACCAACTTTTTGGATTGCGCTTCTGGAAGGTCCAAAAATTTTGCATTTTGTTGAAAAAAACTGGTGTCGATGAACTCTTTCAATTTTTCAAGGAAATCCGTCTGGCTCTTGACTTTCATGTCAGTTCTTTATTGTTAAATTCAATCATTTTGGTTTGAAAAATGGCAAAAAGGAGGGAAAATTCAAAAGGTGGGGTTGAGATGGGAAGTTAGTGTCCGAGTGGATCGAGGTCACGATAGCTCAAGTGGTAGAGCAGCGGCGTATCAAGCCGAAGATCGTGGGTTCGAATCCCGCTCGTGCCATTGACTTTTTTATCTCAACTGAAAACCTTAATTAATTGTAAGATATTAATTGGTCAAGCGGACCACGAAGCTAGTGAATTTAATAAGTTTAAAATTAAGTATACTTCACTAAAGCTCTCCGTGGCCATTTCATTTGTCGCCAAGAATCAAATTGATTACACGACATTTGAAAAATGGCAAAAAGGGGGGAAAATTCAAAAGGTGGAGTTGAGATGGGAAGTTAGTGTCCGAGTGGATAGAGGTCACGATAGCGCAAGTGGTAGAGCAGCGGCGTATCAAGCCGAAGATCGTGGGTTCGAATCCCGCTCGTGCCATTAACTTTGTTATCTCAACTGAAAACCTTAATTAATTGTAAGATATTAATTGGTCAAGCGGACCACGAAACTAGTGAATTTTAGTTTATGTTATCAGATGTAAATTATCTCCATGTCCAAATGAATACCAGCAGTGAGTTGATTTTTTCTTCATCAACATCACCCTCGTAAAATGGTAAAGGTACAAATCCTTTCCGACGGAAATATCCCAATCCCTCCATTGTGAAACACCAAGGTTTATACACAACGCACGTGTACTGGTTTCGGTATCATGCCGACAGAATGCAAAGTTTCACTGGTTGCCTCTTTTTTCGAGTGAATGAACCAGTTTCCCTCAGCCTCCGTTGAAGTCGTTGGAAGGTGCGATCTGGTGGAACGAGTAGCATTACCGTTGCAGAAACCGTATATGAAATGCATATCAGCATGATGTGCATTAAGAAACGAAGACATAATTGAAATAACCACCTGAGGAAGTTGTCAGCTAATAACATAAAACTTAACTTAAAACAGCAAACTGATTGAATTGTACATTAAAGAACTGACTCGAAACTCAAAAGCCAGACGAATTTCCTGGAACAATTGAATCTGCCTCCCTTCACCGAAACCAATTTTTTCAGCAAAATTTTTGGGCTTTACTGAAGTTGTTTAAGTTGGGTATACCGCTGGAAGCTAAATGAATGGAGAACTTTTGAGGGAATATGCAAAGCGACAGGTGTAGTTATTAATCCAACATTTAAAAAAATTCTACATTTTAACATTTTTGTTTTTCTGAATTTTTCATGCACAATTTTTTCATCAATTCTGGAATCTAAACAGGTTTCCTTACGGCAAATTTAACGTTCTTTCATGTGGCACAAACCAGATTTTTCTACGGTCGGTAATTCTGAAGTTTATAAGCAATTTAGTGGTCCTAAGTCAAAAATGGTTGGTGGTTAGTGACCGTGAGTCGATAATTATTCAGAAATCGTGAGATGCGTTCTGGTGTGATGTAGGTTTTAGAAAAACATTTTCTTTATCGTGCCAACGTTTCTTTATCGTCTGGGATTTACAAACATTGTTTAAATTTGTGTATAAATTTAAAAAAGTTAATTTATACAATGCAAAAATATATATTTTTTATATCCAATCAAAGTATTTCTGCTTTTTTCCACATCCTACATGTATTTGTTAAATTTAAACAATGTTTGTAAATCCCAGGCCCTGAAGAAGACCTCAATAATGATCGAAACGTTGGCACGATAAAGAAAATGGTTTTTCTGAAACCTACATCACACCAGACCGCATCTCACGATTTCTGAATAACTAAGTCGAAAAATTAAAAAACACACAAAACCTGAAATTAATTCTTTTCCTTTGAGATTTTATAGGGGCGGGGGTTTATAGGCTGTTTTTGTTGCATATGGTGGGTAGAAACACATCCTGAAATTTTTGAAACTTATCACCAGCCACCCTGTATTTAAGATTTAATAATTCCCCTCGAGTTTTAATTATTAAACCCAAATCATCCGTATTTACACACAAATTTATATGCACATCTTGTCTTATTTGCCTATATACTGTCCTTCAAGCGCCTTTCTTCTATGTTTTTTGATAAAACTTTATCTTTTTATCCTTAAGACGCAATCTATTTTTGCCCCACTTTTCCACAGAACCTAAAATTGTGCGATCGCTTACCTTCTTCTTTCAACAGTTACATTTGCGTTAATTTTTTTATAAGTGCTAAAATGTTATTTTTAGTTTTTTAAATATCAATATAACGTTATATTACAAAAGTATAAGATTTTAAAGGTAGGTTAAGTTTAAGTTTAAATTAAAATGTACAATGGATGATATTTTCCCACTATTTCTTTTTTAATTTTCAGTGAAGAAATTTCTTTCAATAGGCCTTTCTTGAGCGAATAAAGTAGAGGGATTTAATTAGAGGGTTATTAAATTTTGAAAAGAATCTTGGAGCAGTTCTGTGAATAGCGACTAGTTTAAAAAAAAATCTAATAACTTTTTTTAAGTATATCTTGAGTACTTAGGGTTTAATTTTTGTAACGGAGGATTGGGAAAATTTTATTTTTACCACGTGCTATCCGGTTGGAAGGATATTTCTTTTTTGTTAAATCATTACATTTTTTAATGTCGATTCTCATTTATCATTTTTCTTTTCTTTTTTACATAATGCAGATTGTACTTGGTTTAAATTTGCATCTTCAGAAGAAAATTGGTTATTTATATAATCGAATATATTTCACTGCTAGTAAGAAACTGACTGGGTTGATCTTTTTTTGAACCGACAAGTTATTCATTTTTCCGCTCGGTCTCCCAAGCGAGGTGTCGGAAAAAAAATTATCCTTCGTAAGAATTTCCCGGGAAGAGAAATGTTTCGACGTAGGAACTGTTCTAGGAAGGAGGTTACATTTGTCAATCGTGATCGATACCCTGGGAAAAGAATCCGATGAAAGAGAAGGCCAAAACAGATTTGCCCTTGCACAAAGGGGTCGTCATTTAAATGGAAATCTCCGTTTTATCACAAACACTGGGATAACGTCGGGCTTTCGTTTTAAATAACGACGTTTAACTCGGGTCTTTGAGTTTATAATTAATAGTACTTTAAGCCAAGCGTTTTCGCTAAAATGTTTCAGTTTATCTAACTTAAAAGTTAAGCGACACCCGCGAATAATCAAATCATACTCGTTTTGTGTGTTTCGCAGTGTCCTAAGATTGAATTTGTTCTTGTATGAGAAGTATTCAGCTTGCTTTGCAAAAGCTCCTACATAATTTAGATCATTGATAGCCCCTTCACAAGGACTTTTCCGCAAGTTTTATCAGAGGCGTCTGGCTTCGCGGTAGAAATTCATTTTTCGGGTCGCAGGAAAAGATAAGAGAAGCGATAGAAAGCTAAAATCTAGGTCGGTGGATCCTCTTCCCCGATTCGAATTCCAGCATGAAAAACAGGAAGCTAGATAAATAGCAGGGACTTAATAAAGCTCCGTAAGCTAGTTAAAATGGATTCCTCTAATATGGTCCTGGCTTTGTTATTACGAGTTTCTTTAACGAATATATTCTTTTTTTTCTCTCTCTCTCCCACTCTCTCATCCCCATTCTAGAAGAGGCAGTTTTGAGACTTTGTGGGCGTCGAAACTTTCTGAATGACTTAGGGCAACCTAAACTTTCTCCAACGAAAACAAGTAGAGAGCTAGTATCATCAAGGCTCTTCGCTAAATGGATCAAATAACTTTTATCTCGGGACTGAAAAATGACAACCGCCTTGATTCAAATGGCAACACAACGCAAATTGTGTTCTTTGAATGCGAGAAAAAAATTATCAATTTTCAATATAATCATGCCCAGGTTGAAAAGAACCTGCACTCGTAGGATTTGCAATGGAAATCTTGATATTTGCTGTAGTGGCAATCATCGGATTTGCTCTCGGCGAGTATTGAGCCATGGCGAAGTATCAAGAACATCATT